TATTTTATTTATATTTTATTTTTTTTTTTTTTTTTTTTCTTTAGGAACAAATTACAAGTTTAAAATAAATCTTAAATTTTTTTTTTTTTGTATGTGTATTCTCATATAAAAAGACAAACTATTATTTTTTTAAAAGTTTATGTGTATTAATCTTGTTAATATTATGTTGTTTATATTTATTTAAAATATTTATAAACATAAATATTCTTCTAACAGTTATTCATTGTACTATTTTTATATCTATATATGCTCATAACTAAATACATCTCATTAAATAACATATAATTCCAATGAAAATAAATAATAAAAAAAAAAAAAAAAAAAAAATTTTTTAAATAAAAAAAGATAATTAAATATTGAAAAAATAAAACAATGGATTCATTTTGTATTTTTTCACCTAATGGTAAATTAATGATTGAACAAATTTTTAATAATAAGATAAAAAATAATCTAGAATATGATTTAAAAGAAATAATAACTAGTAAGAAACATAATAAAGATTATTACCTAATTTTAAATAATGAAAATGAAACTCAATTTTTAAAAAAAAATGAAAATAACTTTGTTTATTTAATTAAAAAGGATGATTTACTATTTATTTCTCTAAAAAAAAATGAAAATAATCCCATTTTAATAATTGAAATGACTCAAGAATTAATTAAAAATTTAAAAAAATATTTTAACACAGATAAATTAAATGAAAATATATTAATAAATAATTATTCTATCGTAAATTTTTTAATTAATGAAATTTTAGTACAAGGGAGACCTAGTTTATTTATTGATGAAATTTTAAAAATTTTAGTAAAAAATGAATTTTCCTTCTTAAATGAAACATTGAAATTTTCTCCTATACCCAATAATATATATAATATGATAACTCAAAAAAAAAATAATCTTATAAATAATTTGAATAATGAAAATAACATAAATTATAGTTATAGTAATGGAAATTCTGTTAATTCTAATGATTCTATGCACATATATTGGAGAGTTAATAATAATAATGTTTCATCTAATGAAATTTATATTGATGTAATTGAAAATGTAAACTGTATAGTTAATAAATTTAATAAAATCATACATTATTGTGTTGAAGGAAATGTTGTTATTAATGCGACAGTTAAAGGATCTCCTTTAATTAAATTATATATCAATAATATTGATTTAAATAAATGTAATTTTCATTTTACTGTTAATTATTCAAAATTAATTAATAGAAAAAAATTAAAAAAAGATGAAAATGTAATATATTTTGTTCCATTAAGTCACGAATTTGTTCTTCTACAATATTTTTATTTTCATGTATTAAAAGAGAATGTAGAAAAAAAGTTTCCCCATTTTAATCCATCTGAACAGTTAACTAATGTGTTGAACTTAAAGAATATAAAATCTGCATATATTAATAATGATATATGTGATAAAACAAATAAAAAGAATAGCTTAAAGGAAGATGAATATAGAAAAAATGATGATAAAGATAAAAAAGAATTACATTCTGATAATGAAAAAGGATATGAAGGGAAAACTTTTGAAATAAAAAATTCTAAGAAAGAATATTATGAAAAAAATGACAATGAATATATATATAATAATAAGGAACAGGAAAAATATGATTACATTAATTTAAGTAATTCTATTGGAGAAAAACTATTATGTGTGTATGACAATGTAAGTGAAAATAATGACATCAGTTTAAATAATGATAATAATATTTTATTTGATGAAGAAAATGAAGAATGCAAATTACCTCTTAATGTTAAAGGTGATGTAATTTTTACTTCAGCTGAGAATATGTACAAAATTAAAATAAATGTAATTTTAAATAATATAAATACAAAAAGTAATAGCAACCAACTATTAAATAGTTATGAAAATATTTTACTTAAAATTCCTATTCATAATTTTATAAGTTCTATTAATTTTCATTGTTCATTGGGAAAATTAAATTATAATGAAAAAGCAAGTTGCTTATTTTGGTATATTCAGAGCATTACTGATAAGAATATTCCTATCTCTACTAATATATCTTTATATTTAAAATCTAATAAAAACAATTACAATTTGAGTCATATTATTTATCCTTCATTTAATTTTGTTGTTTATGTTAGTTTAAAAATTAATGGAATCTCAATTACAAGAAAAAGAATTGAAAAAATTGATATTCAGAATTCCAAAAATTTAGATATTCGTAAAGGATGTAGATATACTACTTATTTCAATAATATAGAATTTAGAATATAAAAGTAATTACACAATTATTATTAGTCTTAAAAAAATAAAATAAAATAAAATAAAATATTCTGTGAAAGAGAAAGTAATAAAGAAAAAATAAAAAAGAAAGAAAATAAAAAAAAAAAAAAAAAAAAAAAAAAAAAAAAAAAAAAAAAAAAAATAAAAAAAAAATTTAGAAATTATAGATAATATTTTACAAATTAAATTATAGTATAATGTTTTCATGAAAAGAATTAAAGTGATATAAAATATAACTTTTTCTTTTTTTTCTCCTCTGAAAATATTATAGAAATTTTCCCTTATTCAATATTTTAGATTCTGTTAGAAATTATTAACAAAATGTTCAAACAAATGTATATATTTCTATATTATTAATAATTTAAGAAAAAAAAAAAAAAAAAAAAAAAAACCTAATTTTATAGTATTATCAAGATCTTGAGAATCTTCAACCCTAAAAAAAAGAAAAACATAAAAAAAGAGAATGAAAAATATACATTTTATAGACATTGAAAATGTATATTATAAAATAATTCACCCATTTATCTTTTTATATTTTTTTATTTTTTATTTTTTTTGTTGCAAAAAATTCAAATTTAATAAAATTATAATAAATATATTACTTTTATTATTTTTATTTTTTTTTTTTTTTTTTACCTGCACATATTCTTATGAAAATCAACATTTTTATACAAATTAATTATCTCCAAAAATTCTAGTGACTAAAATGAAAGAAGAAAAAAAAAAAATTATTACATAAAGTTTTAATATTATATAATAAAATATTATATAATGTACTTTGTAGGATCTGCTAATGTTTCCATTTTCCCTCTTATTTTTTTATTCATAAAAAAATATTATTTGAAATAAAGAAGTTGTATTATATTTTTACCATAATATTTTTGCATTTATTTATTATTATTATTTTTTTTTTTTTTTTTACGTTTTTCTGTGTTATTTTCATTAGTATCTCTATTGTAAGTTTTAAATTTTTTATATATTGAAGCATGTCCTCATTAGAATGAAACTCTATTTTGTCCTATCGGTTTATCAAAATATATATATATATATATATATATATATATATATATATATATATATATATATATATATATATATATATTTGTCTATCATTTTTTTTTTTTTTTTCTTTAACAAAAAAAATTTATTACTTCCATATTTACTGAATAAAAATAATCATTTTGTTTTTCTAGAAATTTTTTTATTTTATCCAATTTTATATTAATATCTTCGAGTTCCTTTTCACTTAATAATAAAAGGAATATATATTTATAGATATTTTCATAATTATAGAATTGTAGAAAGAATAAAAAATAAGAATTAGAAACAAAAAAAAAAAAAAAAAAAAAAA